ATTGTCTGTTTGATACTCAGCGATGTAACTCAACATGCAACTGAAAATGTCTATAGTGATTTCTTAACTGAGGCATTTGCCTCCAAACGTACAATATTCCAATGGCTATGCACAAAGATTTGCACTATATGTTTTCCTACTTAATATGTCCTACTCCTTCCTAAAAGGGGATAGTCACCAAGATAGAAGTAACTATTCTCTTTTGATACGCAGCGATGTAATTCAACATGCAACTGAAAATGTCTACAGTGATTTCTTAACTGAGGTATTTGCCTCCAAATGTACAATATTTGAATAGCTATGCACAAAGATTTGCACTACTGTATATGTTTTCCTACTTAATATGTCCTTGTCCTTCCTAAAAGGGAATAGTCACCAAGATAGAAGTAACTATTCTCTTGGGCTTTGTTACACTGCTGGGTGGATTTGTAATTGGTTGATGGGCTGTATCCAAAGAATGCTCATCAACAGACACTCATCATTCTAGAGAAATGTGGCAAGTGGGATACTACAACATTTTGCCTCGGGCTCATCATTCAACATCTTTATCAACGGCTTGGATGAGACTATGGGTGGAGGCACTCTTCAGATTTGCAGATGGGGGGTAGCTAATATTCCTCATTTCAGAATCAGGTGAATGTAACAGATTAAACTGGCTCAAAAGAAACAAAAAGAGGATGCAATCAGACAGGCATTTGTCTTGCAGTTTGGTCTGGGTGGAGGCAAGCTGATTCACCCCTTTTCCTTGTAGCCACATGACATAAATGGCATTGCAGAGCAGCCTGCCCTTCATTGATGCCTCTCTGCATCTTTTTGGGTACCTGTCAAGGGCTACTGTATTTTTTGATGCAGGTAGTATCACCCCATCTTGGACTGAACCAATGTAGATGGCTTAAGTTGACCCTCTGCTTAAGCTACTTAATAATCTTGAGAAATGGAAAGCTTCCTTCTTGCTCATCTTCCGAGGGGAAGGAAAACGTTTTCCATTTCTTTTTAACTGTTGCGAATGTATCAGCACTGCTTTAAAAACAGCCCTTTCAAAGCATCGGTGATGTGCTGTATCAGTTGGCAACAATTAAAAACAAATGGAAAACTTTCTCTTTCTCTTCATAGGCAAGCAGAAAGAAGCTTTCCATTTCTCAAGATTGCTAAGCCACTTGAGCAAAGCATGGAGGAGGAGACAGAAGGAGGATTTTTGTTTTCTTTCCCTTCAAAATGAAAAAAGATTGGTCTGGATCAGTGGTTCCCAACCTTGGGTGACCCAGATGTTCTTGGATTGCAACTCCCAGAAACACTGACCAGCAAAGCTGATGACAAAGGCTTCTGGAAACTGTACTTCAAGAACACCTGAGTTACCCAAAGTTGGGTACTACTGGCCTAGTTCATGTAAAATGGGGTCTCTTCGAGGTGTGGTGTGGTCGATCCATGTATATAGACGCAAAGATTGCTCAAAATTACATATCACACTTCAAATTAAGCTTGGTTAGCACAATCTAGACAAATCCAAATTGGGATAATTAGGCCATCTAGTTGCACTCTGAATTTCAGCAGGGAAAAATTGAAAGTTCTATATTTTGGCAGAAAAAAATAAGATGCACAAATATAGAGTTGCTAATCTCAGATTTAGCAGTAATATTTTACAAGTATAGCAAGGATATTGACAAACTTGATTGTGTCCAGAGGAGGGTGACCAAGTCGGTAAAAGATCTGGAAATCAAGTCTTGTGTAGAAGGGTTGAGGAAGTTTGCCCTGAAAAAGGGAAGGCTGAGAGGTGACATGGTAACCACCTTTAAATATAGGAAAGACTGCCATATGGTAGAGGGAGAAAGCTTATTTTCTGAGGCGCCAGACGTTGTATGTTATATGGCTGGTATCAGTCTGACCTAAAACCAAAATATTATAGCTACCTTACTAAAAGACTTGTACAACGCTGGAAGTTAGAATATGTATAAATATATATAGAGAGAGAATCTGTTGCCTTTTGTAAATAAGTTGAAAATTTTGTTCAAAGAGATGATACAATAAGAGTAGCCTGGCAGTGCAACGGTTCCCTTCCTGGACTTAAAACCATACACAACAGTAGCTGCAGAAACTAGAGGAATGATGGCTGAGGGAAACTCTCTTTACATGGCCTCCATTTATTCTTGGCACCTGAAATGGAAGGCTTAGGGAGTCCCTAGACAAACATGTTTCAGGGCACCTGGTCTGGCTATTAAATACCTCAGCAACTTTGAAATCTGTGTTTCCCAGTTTTCCTAGTACCCGGGATGCGGTCATTGCTGCACTTTAGATGGCGGGGGGAAATGGAACTGTCACAACTTTCAGATGAATTTGGGAGGAAAGGGAGATGGCATCTGGCCCCATCATCCTCTTGATATTACTGGGAGAGTGATGGTACTTTGGAAAGGGTTCATAAACAAGATGAGTCTATTCTAAACTGAAATATCTTGCTGCTCCTATACTATTAATACAGATAAGCCTGAAAAAACAACACAGGACAATTTTCTGCAAAGGTTCAAGTGACTAATATATTTTTCAATGCAGATTAACAAATATTTAATTACATTGCTCATTACTTGTCCTACAGGGTTCTTTTTTATTATAAAAGGATTAACTTAAATGTTAAAAAAAGTAATATCAGTGGCATATCAGAACTTTTTGCTGAAGTAGTACAAATGTTTCTAAATTAATCAGCTCAATTAAACATAATGGGCTATTACTTAGCTATGAAATTATTTTCTGGAAAGAAAAAAAAATGTCCTGTGCTTTACACTGGGGGTGCAGTAACACTTTGTTCTACAGACAGCTCAGTGGTTTAGTTATCTAGCTACAGAACCAGAGGTTGGGAGTTCAATTCCCCACTGTGTCTCCCTGACATGAGCTGGATTCGATGAGCCATAAGGTCCTTTCACTCTGCAGTTCTAAGATTATAAAAAGCCACAGAGGTTCAGATTGGGAAGCGGATGATAACAGTAAGATGTTGTTAGGCTGCATCTTCCAGCAGCCCTAACCAGTTGTGAGGGGTGATGAAAGTATATCTCCAGACACATCTGGAGGACTAGATGTTCTTTACAGCTTATATAAAAACTCATTTTCTTCAACCTCATTGTTCATGAAGTATCCCTTACTCAGCAAAACTATTCCTAGTCCAAGGATTAAATCAGCAAACCAAGGAAAGGACTAGGTAGCTTGCTCTTATCCTGTTCAATTTCTCTATAGGCAAGATCTTAGGAAAGTGTGAAGGCAAGAGGAGAAGGGGACGACAGAGGATGAGATGGTTGGACAATGTCATTTGAAGCTACCAGAATGAATTTGATCCAACTCTGGGAGGCAGTGGAAGATAGGAGGGCCTGGCGTGCTCTGGTCCATGGAGTCATGAAGAGTCGGACACAACTAAACGACGACGACGAATCACTGGTCTCTACAACCAGTTGTGGACTGACTTGGTGGATGTATAGGGGTTGTTAATGAAGTTTAGCTCTTATCCGAAAGCAAAATACCATGTTTATTAAGAGTCCACCAGGCTTAGCATGTTTAAAAGAGCTTGGCACTAGGTTTTATTAACAACACGTTTAAGAGCACTGACATTGAAAGATTGCTCCCGAGGCTGAATCCTAGAAGCACCTACAATGTATCAATCACACACTGCCACTAGTCATATTTAATCCCATCCTCTCTGTATTTTACTGAAGCATGGCAATGCAATTTTCTGAAAGAAATGGAGATGTTTACAGCTTCTGCCATTTACAAGTCAGTGTTTTACTATGCGTCTGACTCCAGGCCCCCAAGGCCTGAATCTCATATAACATCTTCTGTGTAACTAGGCAGACAGTTTTCTGCAAACTTGGCCATATGGTGGTGGAGTCTGCGATGCTTCTCTGATGCATTTCTGTTCTGATTAAAATTTGTAGGATTTAGACAAAAAGCATGTTAAATGGCCAGGAGAGAGAAAGAACAGATGGGGACCTGAACTGATTTCTTCATGTGCAGGTGGGCACTCAATCCATCAGCAGCTTCAAGGTAGTATCAATAAAAGAAGTCTGTAAATAGCTTTAGGCTGTAGCTGGTCAGCATTAAAAACTCTTTTTACTAATGCATACATGAGCTGGATACACTAAAAGGGCTTCTGTTTTTCCTTCTCTACCATTAAATACGTGAAGAAGTTATCTAGCTACTTGTAGAGGAACAGTTATTCTTCACTCAGATAGGTTGGCAAGGGATAATGCAGATCCAGGAAAGCTAATGAAATCTGCAATGATCCTGAAAATTAAAAGAGGAAAGATTAATAGGTGAAGGGTAAAAAAATTTATAGTTGCCAGAATGTACCATTTTGATGAGAATGACCAATTATACGATGATAATTGTACTGATGATACTAAAAAACAAATTACTTTTAAAATTTAAACTCTGCTATTAGATTATACCCAAGTGTTCTTCTACCTAGGCTACCTTTAAATCGCCTTCATTTCAAGAATTATGCAGCATCAGCTATTTCAACAGACCCTGTGCTTATTATTTTTAAAACTCAGTGTAAATCCTGTCATGCGAAGGTATAACCATGCAAGTCAAAGTATGTAATACATAAAAGCCAGTCAACTCATGTGAGTATATGAAGCAGCCTCTCCCACAAGCACATCTTTCCTTCCCTGTCAGTAAAACTACAATGGCCAGAATCCCTACTGGTGTTTGTATAAGGTTACTGTAACTTGCTGTGGCTAATCGTGGCTAATTGATGAAGTACTCAGTTCTAAAATCAGGTGTGTGACCAGGCATGTGATTGAGATGCACCCTGGCATTCCATCAATGAAGCACAACCAGACACTGATTGTTATGCAAAACTTCTGTGAACACCAAGAGCCGATAGTAAGTTAAATGATTAAATATTTACCATCCTTTCAAGACAACACCAAATCTGCTTCCCAATGCAGTTGCCTAACTCCACCTAATGGCAGGGATAGCCCATTCCTCCATCTTGGCTATATTGGAAATATAGTAAGTACCTTTTCATTTTTCCTTTCTTCCATTTTGCAGCCAGCGTTGGTTGGACTGCAAGTCGCCAGGCTACTGACAGCCCCACTTCCTGTTTCTCCATTCAGGTTGACTGCAGTGACATTGGGAGGAGTAATTGCTGCTGCTGCTGAAGTGAGAGGAATGATCGGCCTGGCACACTGGGCTCCAGGGATGACGTGTACTGGGGAGTGGTGGATGTGCTGGGGAGATACCACAGAGTGTGGCCTCACCACAGTGGCTGGAAGGCGGGAAGGAGAGTTCTGGGTCCTCAATGGTGAGACTGTAGCTGTGGGCCTGTCCTGCGCCTGCACAGATGGGTGCACAACTGAGAACAGGAAAGAAGAAAAGAAAATAAGAAACAATAAGAAAATAGCTTGACTGTCACTAACCCAGTCAAAATAGCAGAAGGCATAACAAGGACTTACAGAAGTCTTACAATGGTTCAGGCTGAAACTCTGACAAGAAATATACATTTAAGCTGAAATTTAAACAGTGCAGTGTGGGAATTACTACATGTTATAATACCATAAGAAGCCAAAACATGGCACAAACGGTGTTTTAAAAACAAGATTTTACAACAGGGATACATGGTGTGCAGGCAGTGGTTGTCCCACAATGTCTAAAGTACAGCCTTAACGCATGGATGCCTTGACACACTTTTACCAAATTCACCCCCTGCCACACTATCGGTACCACACAGATTATTCTTCCGTGGCAGCAACCTGGAAAGAGCAATCTGTATCTAGACAGTGGCAGTGGCAACAATGAAGAAAGAATGGCTGGGATATGTGCAGAAATCTCCCCCCCACCCATCTTGAAGGCTTTGTGGAAGGCAGAAAAAGTTTCACACCACTGTTTTTACAACTTCCATTTTTAAATTTATTTTGCAATCTGTAGGAAGACTCAAAACTAACCACTGCAAGCAACCATGTTTATCATACATTTGAGAGGAGCCTCAAAAGACACTACTTTTCACAAAAGCAGTAAAAGGGATGCTGTATTTAAAATTACAAAGTAATACTTGCATGTGGGTATTGGAAGCTATCTCATTCCAAACCAGACTATTTCTCTACCTGTCTAAGCACTGCCCACTTTGAGTGAGATCGGATCTTCAGGATCTCTGGTATAAATACTCAATGAGGCAGCTGTCTTAGTCTGGCTCCACATGTATAATCCAATGAAAGCAAATGAGTTATGGCGCCTTAATGACTGACAGCTCTATTTCTGTGTAAACTCATGGATTACCATCTACTTCCTCAAACACATGGAGCGTCCTAATAACCAAGCTGAGGTACGCTAAGACCCATAGCCAGTCCCTCTATTTTAGTTTACAAAGCAACCTCTCCCAAAAGCACATCTTCTCTATCCTGGCTTTAAAAATACAAAATAAGTCAAATAAAGAACATTTATTGTCCATCATTCACCATTCAAATTCAGGTTAACAGCCTCCCATCTGGTCAATTCAAATCCAAAGAAGTGCTCTCTGTACCTCTTAATAGATGCATAATCTAAGCATAGTTTAAAAATCTTTGATAATTCTTTATCTATACTTTCTATGGAAGCTAGTTATTTTCCCCTTCTTTTAATAATAATAATAATAATAATAATAATAATAATAATAATAATAATAATAATAATAATAATAATAATAATAATAATTATCAATATCAATATCAATATCAATATCAATATCAATATCAATAAACAACAACAACAACAACAACAACAACAACAACAACAACAACAACAACAACAACAACAACAACAACAACAACAACA